TCCCTACACAGGGAGCAGCTGGGAGTTACCCCAACGCCCATGGGGTCCGTGGCACCTCTGCAGGCTCTTTCAGCCCAGTATCATTTTCCCCAGTCCTACCTGACTGCTGAAAGACTGAGCCTCGGTAGCCGGGGTCCTTTTGAAGCTGGATCTCCTTCAGGGAGAAGATGGAGACATCTGGGAAGAAGGGGCAGATACAGAGGTCAGTCCAGCTGTAGTCTGCAAATCCAGGGTCAAGACTGTGCCACCCTGCCCATCATACCCCAAACTCTTGCTCTCCACCCCCAAACCCCACGCACGAGCAGCGCCTGAGGAGCCCCAGCCGCAAAGCACCGCGCGGAAGGTGCGGAGCAGCTCGTTGCACCGCGGCCTGTCGCACACACTCACTGTCGGGGAGGAGCTGCACCCGTTCCCCCAGGCTCTTGAAGTACGCGTGCCGCAGAGCTGCCTCCGCTGAGATCCGGCTTTTGGCTTCATACTGCGCAGAGCCCCGGGAGAGGAAAGCAGGCACCGTGGGCACGTGCATGACGGCACAGAGGCCTGCCCGGGGTGCGTGCACATGCGAGGATGTATGGATGTGCAGGTTATGGGTGTGTGCCCAAGGAATTTCATACGCTACATGGGTGGGAGTGTGTCCTGAGCACATCATGGGGATGTGCAGGCAATTGTGGGTGCCTTCTGCATGTCCACAAGGACCTGCATTACCCTGGGTGGCTACGGGAGCGCCCCATCCGTTTCATGCCTTACGGATCATGACTTTTTGTTTGCAGAGGCTGCGGCTGAGAGGATGGGGGAGAAGGATGGTTCACCCTTCAGCAAACGTGATGAAGGGCAGACAAGGGCTCTGAACAAGCAGGGCATAAACTCATGAGGAGAGAGAAGCACATCCCCAGAGAATTTTGGAGTGAACCCACTGCAGATCAGACAGTGAGATAACGGGAGGTGGTTTAAGAAAGCATCTACATGGCCATAACTGTATGACCATGGCTGACTGCGGCCCCAGCCCCTCCTCTGCCTGGATCCAAATTAGTGTGAGGACTGCCGAGGTGCTTCCACAAATCCCAGTGCCGTCCACCCGGATGGTGCTAGCGCTTACCAGGAGGAGGTTCATGAGCAAGTCGATGCCTTCCGAGTCCAGCCTGAGAGAAGAAGGAAATAAACAGTGCAACATTATCACGCCCAGGGGACACTGCAATAGCCAATACATGGCTCAAGAGTCATCTGGGACCTCCAATGTCCCGCTTCATGCAGAGACTGCCATTTCCACGCTGTGGAAATGAAACTGGTCTCCGCAGGTTCCCATTGAAGACCAGCGCAAGCCTACCATGCCTTATGCATGCTCAGGAAGGTACCTTGGGGCGTGATTTATTAATGGCTGGGCTCGGTACTGTGTGAAATTGTAAGCCTTAAACTCCTCGTTGGATGTTATTCCAGGCCAGGTGTCTTCTGTTGGGGTTCCTGAGAGGGGGAGAGAGGGAACCCTGTCATGATCATTTGGTCTAGAGAGAAGAGCTTCATAGATGCAAGGACAACGGCTAGTGCCACCTCTCCCAAGGAGGACCCAGGACAGAAAGCAGGAATTCCACCATCAGACCTGGACTTGTGGGCACATCCTGCAGCCCACGAGGCCGGTGCAGGATTCGGGCCCCAGCTCTGCCCACCCGCTCCCCTGCTTTGCCCACGGGCCCTGTGCGGGCAGCGGAGGTGCCGCTTTTCCACAGTATCTGCAATGAGCCACTGCCCTCACGTGGGCATTTGGGAGATAGCAGGAGACTCACCCAGCAGCCTGAAGATTAAATGCAGCTCTTCCTTCACCGTGGAGCCGGGGAACATGGGCCGGCCGGTGACCATCTCGTAGTGGATGCAGCCCACTCCCCTGAAGGAGCAGCACAGCATCAGCAAGGTGGAAGCCTTGGAAACATCCCCCTGCCCCTTAGCAAGGGCTGCATGGGGTCCTGAGGCCCCAGCTGATTGATTGGGTCCCAGAACCACTTCCCTTCATGGATACAGATAGCCATTTACATGGAAAGTGTGCTCCAAAGACCTCGAGATCCATGGGACACACATAGCAGCACTGCATCGAAGACAGGCAGACACCTCTATTTTAACCATCGACTCAACACTGTCAGCCCATACGGGGCTGCACAGGCCGCTGGAAGGCTATGTCCAACCCTCTTGTCTTGGAAACTTTGGGAATCTTAATTTGGAGGTTCCCCTCTTCCCCACTCCGCCCTGCAGACGAGCACCGGGACTTACCACATATCAATAGGTGTGGAATATTCAGTGGATCCTAGCAGGACGTCTGGGGGCCGGTACCACAGCGTGACCACCTCATTGGAATATGTTTTTGTAGGGACTGACTTGGCTCTGGCTAGTCCTGGGAAGGAAAGGGATGTGCATCAAGGAGCTGCATCCAGCTGCACCTTGCTGCAACACTGTCTTCCTCCCGAAAGGCAGAACAAGGCAGGAAAAGTTCAGCACAAAGCAAGGGGCTGCGCTCATGCAGAGATGCTACCTACCAAAGTCAGCCAGCTTGAGCTCTCCTCTCTCATTGATGAGCAGGTTCTGGGGTTTGAGGTCTCGGTGCAGGATTTTTCTTCCATGACAGTAAGCCAGGCCACGCAGCAGCTGAAACATGAAGATCTGCAGGCAGGGAGAGCAGTTGGCAATTAGCATTGGGGCACAGGCATCCAAAGCTTGTCTTAGGAACTGTAAAATCTGTGGACAGGTAAGATGCCTTGAAGCTGGCCTGGGATGAAATGCACTGTAGACAACTGCTCAAGCCTCTGATCAGCAACTCAAAACAATGCCTGCCACAGTGATTTTATTTAATATAGTTGTAGCTTAAGATAAGCTGGTGGAACGTCAGAGCCTGCTGAGAAAGGTCAAAGAAGGGTATTGGGAAAGGACTGATTGAAGAGAGGATGGGTATCCCAGCCTCATCCCAGCTCCATGACGTCCCGGGATGCGCTTGGGCTGAGCTCCCTGCAGCTCCCAGCTCTCTCTAGAGGGAAGCAGGGCACTGGTCCTGGGCAATGCTGTCCTACCTTCACATTGTGCACGCTCATGAAGCTCCCACAGTTATCCAAGTACTGTTTGAGGTCGTTATCCTGCAAGGAGAAGAATCCATCAGCTTCGGCTCCTGCCTCTCTTGCCCACTAAACCTTCCGTATAAGCAAGCCCAGCTCCGTTTCACGGGAGCCGTCCCCACCAGGACTCCCCCAGACCCACCAGGTACTCGAAGACGAGCGTGAGGGAGCGCTCCGTGTGGATGATGTCGTGCAAGGTCACGATGTTGGCGTGCTTCAGGTTCTTCAGCAGGGACACTGCAAGGAAAGGAGATGGCAGCTCCGGGACCACGGTGCTGCGCGGTGGCAACGCCGATTGCTCTCTGCACAGTTAGCGACACCAGACCTCGCTCATTAAGCTTGTGATCTAACCCGGGGAGCCTCTCACCTTCCCGTATAGCTGTGCAAGGTGCCCCTTCCTCGTGCTCCAGGCGAATCTCCTTCAGTGCCACGAGATTTTCTGTCAGCTTGCTGCGCCCCTTGAAGACGGTGGCATAAGTGCCCTCGGGAAGACAGAAAATACAGGCCATGCACACCATTTTATCAGGATGGCACAATGCGGATATATTTTATGCCATTTGCAGGAATGACAATTTGAAGCTAAACAGCCAAGTCTGAAATCCACAGAGAGAATTGATCTAAAGAGCCTTAGATATTGAAGAATTTACTCGTCTGTATTTTGCACTTTAAGCTGTCCTTACGACTTAATTTAAATCGTTGTAAGGGATTCATACTCTCCTTACCTCTCCCAGTTTGTCCAGTTTAACATAGGTTTCCAGCTTCCCAAACCCGATATCTGACTGCAAAAGAAAAGAGAGAACATCATTGGGGGAATCTCATCCAGGGAAAGCTTTGCCACCTGTGGGAAGGTTAAGTCAAGGATGCAGGGCAGTAATAGCTTTAGGGGCAGATAAATCAAGGCAGGTGTTTGCATGCAGCAGTCCAGCTGATCCAGGTACATTAAACCTATTACTTTTCCAGAGAGGCAGTGCAGGCAGCCAGGCAATCCATCAGAAACCTCCACAACTGCCTGTTTAAGGAAAATGGATGACACCTGCTTCCTACAGCACAGCAATGGTCCTGGCTCCGTCTGCAGGGTGCCGGAGCCTGGAAGATTGCTCCTGCCTGCTCCCATGGCTCCAATTCCCTTTTTCTTCTCCCCACTTATCCCTCTCACCCATCATCCTGACATGCCACCAGCAATGATTCAGTCTAACAAGAGCAGTAGTTTTTAAAGTGCAGATGCTCTTTGTGCTGGAGAAACCTAGTGGGATCACCCTGCCAACGCCTGGCCCATTCCTTGAGTGCTTTCCTATGTGTTGATCTGTACGAGCACTCAGTCCATTTCTCGGTGTCCTTTCCAAATCAAGCATGAAAGAGACATTTCCCTATTTGGAACAGTGAGTCTTTAACGTATTGCTCAGATCTGCTCTTGTATACGTGGTGAAAGAAAGGGCAAGCACCGCGATACAGGAGATTTAGGTTTCACTCCTAGCAGATCTCTTCAATCACATGTAGTCTCAGGTTTCCTGTGCGGAGAGAGACACTTCCTCCATTAATCCGGATTATTCACAGGCCAGGGCATGGACTGGTTCCTAGCAGAAGCACCTGAAACCTGAGGCACTCGTTGCTCCTTTAGCATAAATAATAAACTCGTGTCATTCCCTCTGCAACACATTTGCACCTGGGGAGTCCCAGGCGTGGAGCCAGCTCTGCCTCCAGCCTGGCTAAAGCTCCCAGCCCGGTGCTCGTGCTGTGCCGTGCCGTGCTGCAGCGCGGAGAGACCGGAGCAGCCCCCTCTGCCCCACGGAAAGGCTTTTTCCTTGCACCAGGCACCAGCCTCACCATAGAGCTCTCACAACGCTACGGGGAAGACTGTTTCCTGGCTCACAGCAGCTGGCTTTGAACTGGAAGTCCCAGGGGGACGCAGAATTACTGACTCCAGCTCCTCCAAACATGCAGCTACCCCAAAAACAGACACATCTCGGGCAGGGAAATGAGGTGGCTGCTGCAATGTGAAGTCCTGCAAAACCCCACGGTGCCATATGGCGAATTTTCCAGCAGCATGCCTTATTCATTTACGGGACCATGAATATTAATAACACGTTGCTTTGGCCAAATCTATTTTATTCGTTAGACAAAATGTGCAGGTAAATACGAGCTCTCTGTTCTCTACCCTCCCTCCCCCTGAAGGGCCATAACAGATCTGGAAATGCCTGCCAAGACCTCTGTGCACCACCGAGCATTCCTAGGCAGCAGGACACATGCTTGCACATTTATAAACAGGGCACCAGGTTGTTGCTGCCACATATGCTGATGCTCTGCAGTAAAAAAAAGGAGAAGCCAACATTAATGCAAAGGCTAATTCATTATTTAGCACCACTTGCATTTTAACTAGCAGAGGCTCCAGCACTTGCTAAACCACAAGAGGATTTCCAAAAGGCTTTCCACCTCCTCCCCTTGCAAGGAGTCATGCTGAGAGAGGAAAGGCAGGTATGTGCAGAGGAGAGCGAAGGAATGTGCAGGCCGGGGGATTTGCACAGCTGTGTGTGCAGAAAGGGATTTGCATGGGCAGGTGTGCGTGTACGTGTGTGTTTGTGTGTGTACAGGCTCAATAATGCGTTGGGATACAAAGGAGCTTGCACAGGAGGGCAAGGCTGCGCATGGGTGGAAACAGCACATACATCTACATACACACATACATCACTAGAGGTAATGGCCACAAACTGAAGCACCAAAAGTTCCACAGGAACTTAAGGAAAATTTTTTAACAGTGAGAGTGCCAGAGCCCTGGAACAGGCTGCCCAGAGAGGTTGTGGAGTCTCCTTCTCTGGAGATCTTCAAACCCGCTTGGACGCAGCCCTGTGCCACGTGCTCTAGGTGACCCTGCGTGTGCAGGGGGTTGGACTAGATGATCTCTAGAGGTCCCTTCCAACCTTAACCATTCTATGATTCTGTGATTCTATGATCTGCTGGCTGGGACCTATATGCATGAAGTGAGATGCTGTGCCCGGCACTGCTCGCTCCGTGCGGTGAGACTCACCAGGGAAGCCCGTCGGGACATCCTGCTGAGGGGCTTGGGGAACTCCGGACTGTCCATCTGCAGCTTTTGGAGGAACTCCGGGGGCAGGCGGATGTCCATGGGCAGTGAGAGGCGCTTGTTGACATCCTGTGGAGAGGGCCAGAAGAGCTGGTCATGACAGTGTCTTGGTCCCGGGAGGACAGAAGGGTGCGTGTGCATGCATAGGGATGAGCCCTGGTCCTATATTCTGTCACGGTCCCCTGAATGACCTGGGGAAGACACCCATCTCAATGCCCAGAAGTGATGGACGACAAGGTGACCATGAGGCAGCAGTGTGCCCTTGTGGCCAAGAAGGCCAATGGGATCCTGGGGTGCATTAAGAGCGTCTCCAGCAGATCGAGGGAGGGGATCTTGTCCCTCTACTCAGCCCTGGTGAGGCCACATCTGGAGTATTGTGTCCAGTTCTGGGCTCCACAGGACAAGGTGGATGTGGGGCTGTTGGG